TTTTGTACCAACGGTCCGAATTCGAACAGGAAATCCATACGCCTGAAAAGGAATACGTTGCGTCTTGCGATTGCTAGCTTCAAGCGGTTGGGTGATAATGTAAGTTGCACATCTATGGCTTGAAATTAGCGATTCATTAACGGACAGATGATAGCTGTAATTTCCAAAAGATGGCTTCCAACGTTTTTGATTTTTCAAACAATTTAAATAATTTCTAACAAGAAGCTATCATTTTAGAAAAGTTCTGCGTGAACATGAATACTTTTTTAGTGAAAGACAATCTCATGCTCATTCAAAAACTACTACCAAGCGTGCTGATCGTTTAGTTGATTTGAGAGAACTCATAAATAGAAGCGCTGATACTCCCATTTGGGTTGCATAGAGGCTTAATCACCAAAATAAAAAACCTGTTTTTAAATGTAAATGTGTAGGTCACACCAAAGGTAGTTTGTTACCCTTGTTCAGAGCGAAAATAATTCATAGAGAGATTACGCAGGGCGTGGAAATATTTCAAGCATATAAATTTGTCGGCAGCAAATGCACTTGTGTTTCGCAGTTGATCTGCTCTAACGCCAATTGTTGTACTATTGATGTCAATGATTCCTCGTGTTAATCCGGCATTAGATCTTAGCGATTCTCTTTACAACCATTAATTCATTATTGTCTAATTCTCGTAGACTCAAGTTTAGAAGTTATCTTTTTAATGCCAGGCAAGAGTTTGGAGTTGTTGCTCCATTTTTGCTATCTTGCGCTTCTTATGCGCTTTTAGATTCCTTCATATCCATTTAATAATTGAAATCATCCTCTTATCTTCCTCAATAAGCTCAGATTGCAGATAGCAAGAATTCTTCCACCAGAAAGTTCCGGCTGCATGGCCTGGCCTGGTCCTAGCGATGCTAGTGATTGTCAAGTGCATAATGGTACTACGAAAGCTTTTGGCGCGACTGTGATGAATGGTCACATTAAAAAGCTCAAGACTGCTGAAAGAATAAAGGTTTGCAGAAATTTAGTTGTTTTCCCTCCAAATGCCTTTTACCTTGCAACACTCTCTAGGTTTTTCGGCAGTGGATGGCAGATGTTGACGAAGATGAGAAGAAAATGTTTATTAGAGAGCTTTTGGTAAGTAATTGTTTGAGTGCAGATAACACGTAAAATCCTGCTGTTTCCAGAGCGACTGCGATTTACCAAATTTGGAATATATAAGCATGCTAATATCGCGACTAAGAGTCGCGCGATCTCGACCAACATCGAATGGAAGCAAAGATCCATTGACGCTGCTTCCATCGCACATCGTACTTCGCATAATGTCATATTTAGACCCAGGTAAGTTTTTTGAGAG